GCAGAGCCCAATGCAGGACTTGATCTCACCACTCTGGGATCATGACCTGAGGCAAAATCGAGAGCCAGACGCCTAACCAACTGAGCCACCCCAGCTCCCCTGACCAGCTTTTTCCTGTAAGGACAAGAGTGCCAACTTTCATCTCTTTACACATCAGAATTGGAACCGGAAGTCCTTTTATTTTGAATAGCCATTCCCGTGCCTCCATCTGAACTCCTAGATCCCTTCTTGTCCTCACATTTGCCGTATCTTCTCTCTGGCTAGACTATCAGTGAGTTCTTTCATGATGATTTTTTTTTTTTAAGATTTTATTTATTTGACAGAGAGAGCGAGAGAGCACAAGCAGGCTCCCCACTGAGCAGGGATCCTGATGTGGGGCTCGATCCCAGGATCCTGGGACCATGACCTGAGCCGAAGGCAGTTGCTTAACCGGCTGAGCCACCCAGGTGCCCCTGATGATGATGTCTTAACAAGACTGAGTTTCTTCAGAAAAGGAGCCATGGTTACCTATGTTAACACTTTGCATACATACAATGTTTTGTGTTGCTGTTTGATTTTACTGAATTGCTTCCATTTATGACCTTCATTCTAACAGGAGAAAGCACCTGGTGAGTTTTAACCGGCACCTTCTAAACTTCTTTTTGTGCTGTTGAATGAATGATCAGGGTCTTTTTTTTTTTTTAAAAAGATTTTATTTATTTAACAGAGATCACAAGTAGGCAGAGCGGCAGGCAGAGAGAGAGGGGGGAAGCAGGCTCCCTGCCGAGCAGAGAGCCTGATGCAGGGCTAGATCCCAGGACCCTGGGATCATGACCTGAGCCAAAGGGAGAAGCCCAACCCACTGAGCCACCCAGGCGCCCCTGGGGTCTTATTTTCTTAGCAAAGTTGGAATAACACAAATTTCATGCACTATGAATTGAGTTACAAAAGTAACTTCTCAAGATCTGGTAAGTCCTGACTCCTTTGATTTTTAAAAACTTTAAGTTTTTACTAAAATTCCAGGTAGGGGCACCTAGCTTGCTCAGTTGATACAGCGCACCACCCTTAATCTCAGGGTCATTGAGTTTATTAAGCCCCCATTGGGTGTGGAGCCAAATAAATAAATAAATGAATAAATTCCAGTTAGTCAACATACAGTGTAATAGGAGTTTCAGGTGTACAATATAGTGATTCAACATTTCCACACATCAGCTGGTGCTCATCACAAGTGCCCTCCTTAGTCCCCATCCCCTAGTTAACCCATCCTCCCACCCTCCTCCCCTCTGGTAACCATCAGTTTGTTCTCTATAGTCCAGAGTCTATTTCTTGGTTTGCCTCTTTCTTTTCCCCTTTTGCTTGTTTTCTTAAATTCCATAGATGATTGAAATCATATGGTACTTGTCTTTCTTTGGATTTCTTGACTTTGTTTTGTGATGACTTAAGTAGCTAGGTTAAGATGGAATCTGACCAAATTCTAGGCAAAGGGCCTTCTGGCTAAGTGTCTGAACAGGCTGTTTCAGAATTATCTAGCAAGTTTAAAAAAAAAAATTCTTGGACTCCGTCTTAGGGAGCAATTATGGTACACAGCTAAGTGTAGAAAAATAAGAAACTCCTGATCAGCAAGTTATTCATGTCCAAAAATGTTTTTTATACCCACACTTAAAAAATCTAACCAAAAACCAAAACAAAACCCATCCATTCTTCATTCATGTTCAGTCTAGAAGACACAGGAAATGTTACTGAAAACTCATGCTTTCACTCATTCGGTAAATGTACTGAGCACCAAGTAAAGGCTGGTTACCGGGTCTCGGGACCCGTTCAAGAGCAGCAAGTGCACCAACGTATGGCTTTTAGAGTCAGACGTCCCTACAGTCTTCATCCAGAGCCATCGCAACCTGGGTAACCGTGAGCATGTCCCTTAGGCTTGCACGGCCTCAGTCTTCCCATGTGTAAGAGTGATGCTCTGTGACAGAGATCACGAAGCAAGTACCAAGGAAAATTTACACTTCATCCTCCTAAAATGGTTTCTAACTCATTTCTCAGCCAGCATCCACCGAGCAGCCCACCCACGTGCCGGGCAGCACGCCACACTATCTGTCCATCCAGATGTCACACTGTATCTGTGAAGGTCTAGAGGCCAGCAGCCTCCTCCCTCCAGTGGCTGTTTATCCTCACTCCCATAACCGAACACAGACAGAGCGGGCTGCAGCAGCGGGACGAGGGCTTGTAATCTACAAGAGGGCGGGGCTCAAAAGCCCCATGAAATAATAAAAAGATCCTCCCCTGTGTCCCCCCTCAGAGGTCATCACCACAACTGAGGGGCATGATGGCAGAACCTCCAATAAGGAAGCCAAATAAATACCAGATAAACCTATGCAGGAACAGCCGTGGGTTTAACGGTGGTTTCACTGACGAGCACTGCCATCAGATAACAAAGTCTTTACGTGTCCCAGATACCGCTGTGCTAAGGATTTTACATCCGGTTCGCCACCACTGTAAGTTACTGGAGGCTTTAATCACTGATGCTGATGCTTCACAACTAACAGCTGAGACGAGGCAATTACTGAGAGGCTCTTGTAGCACAACTCACTGCCAGGTTAATTTCTACTTCTAGGAAGATCCTTAAGGACTTCTAGAACCTCCTCCTGTATGGTTGGTGTTAACAGCACCTGCATTTTTACTTCACAGGCTCGAAGGTGTCACTTCATTTTTCCTTCAGAGAATTGAGAGTGTGCATGTGCATACACACGCACATGCACACATGACGAGCCAGGGGGCGGGGCACAGGGAGAGGGATTAGCAGACTTCCCGCTGAGCTTGAAGCCTGGAAGTGGGGCTCCATCCCAGGACCCTGAGACCATGACCTGAACCGAAATCAAGAGTGAGATACCTAACCAACTGAGCCACCCAGGCGCCTCAAAGGTGTTGTTCTAATAGGGACCATGGTTTCAATTCTCTGACACAACCCTGAGAAGTACTTTCCCACATCAGGCAAAAACATATCTGAAATAAGCCACTTTTCACCTAACTTCAACTTTCTAAGAGCATGCCTGCCCTTAGGCAATTGTAGAGGTTAAAAGTAAGCAGGCCAGTACCATCCCTCCGAAGCCATGTTATTTCCTTGCCTATAAATGGCCAAAATCAAAAGAATTCCAGTGAGTGGAAGCCTCTGCATTCCTGGTGTTTTCTGACGTAGGAGCCCACCCCTCGCATTGGAGGAGGCTCAGCGGCGTCTCTAACTTCTGACCACCATAGTCGGTAGTGGTCCCCAGTTGTGACGACCAAAGATGTCTTGGGAGAGTGCGACATGTGCCTTGGGGGCAAAACCATCCCTGCTTGAAAACCACTGCTTGCAAGGCATGAATTCAGAGCTGCCACTGCTCCGTCCTGCATACCAACATCGACGGCTTTGATGTTACCTCTCCGGCTCACTGAAATCACCTGTTTAGCTTTGTACCTTCTGAATTTATAGGAAGTGAAATGTCCAGTTTATGCAATTGTGAAATATTATTTAAGCATAATATAAGCATATAAAAGGCCTTAGAGGGCAGCTCTAATTCCTAGGACTTCCAGTCTGCTTGGTGGACATCCTAGTTTGGCCCAGACCTAAGCTGGTTTCCTCTCAAATGGACTGGCCTGTTTCCAGAGACAACTCTGGAGTGGGAGGACAAGCTTTCCTTACCTTGGGGTTTAACTCTGGGTCACAACGAGACCCCCCAAACCACCAGATGTTGTACAGACTCAAATTAGAGACCACATTCTGACTGCAATGGTCTGGCTACAACACAAGTTAGAGAGCAAGGAGTCCTTCATTTTCTGGTTTCTTATCACTTACACAAGGCAGGCTAGAACACTGTGCCCTTCAGCCTTGGTCAAAGAGGATGAAGTGTGCCATGACCCCAAACCAAATTAAAGAGAAAGCGTGACTCTGCTAACCAAGAAAAGGGTTATTATACCCTTGCTAAGTGTGTTTAAACAAGTCACTCAGAAAACTAGGAAAAAAATTCCTGTGAAAAATAGGAGGCACAGTACTGACTTATCTTAAAAGGCCTTTTAAGAAGAATGACTTAAGATTATAAAGCATTTTTCAAATACACAAAGTGCTTCATAACAACTCAGTAAGCTTTAAGGAATGCTTTTTCTAGTACACCACTTTTTTTGTTGTATAAAAGAAAATACCCCAATTCAAAGGGTGGTAGCATATTTGATATCACCACTGTTTAAGAGGAATGGAGTTACAGGAATGAGAAGTATATAATTAGTAAATAATCCCTCTCAACAGTAAGTTAAGCAGGAAAGCCATAAGAGGGTGGGGGGAAGCAGCCGGAGGCAACACAATCAGTGCATATCAGAAATGCCTTTTTATTTTTTATTTGAAAACAACTTAAATTTTTAGACAAATGATTTTAGTATATAAATTTGATTTTGTTTTTATACAGAATATAAAGATTTCCCTCATTAATCTTCCACGCGAAGGGTATTACAAGCCTGAAGGGAGACTTTCTGCACACAAGTGTGTATCTTACACACAGGGGACTGGAAACCAATGGTGTAGTGCTTCTACACATAAATTAGGTCAAGGGACATCACATATTAAAAAGGATAAGAGAAATATTCTAGTTAATCAGATTCAAGAAGCAAACAGGACACAAAAACTGTGCAGATAAGACCAAGTCAGTAACTTTAGTTAGGACACTGCGGGTTATACTGGAGTAACAGGTCTGCGAGGCGATCATGGGGACCACATTAAAACAGCAAGGAAGAGCTATTTATATAGAAAGGCTGGAAGGAGGGATTTTCACTAAAGCAGATTAACTTCTTGTCAACTGCCAAAACCAAACCAAACCAAACTGAGCGTATGGATGTTAGTATACCAAGGGCATGTTATACCAGTTTTTGTGCGGCATGCTGAGAGTTAGTTAGAACTTCTTCACTGGTGCGTATGAACCATTAATAGTCACGGAGAGGTGTGTTTTTTTTTGTTTTTGTTTTTTTTTGTTTTGTTTTTTGTTTTTTGTGGGTTTTTTTTGCCCCTTCTCACCAAATTTCAGGCATGTCTTATTTTAGATGGAGTATAGCTTTTATCTATAATTTCATCCTGTAAAAACATGTGAAGACAACGTTCATTCTGTGCCAGAGGATGACCAGCGACCCTAGAAATTAAAAAACACACACTTAGTCCAGTATTTTTCAAAAGCGAGCCTGGGGGGGTCAAACACACATTTTCTAAGGTTAAAAAGCATGTACGATTTAGTAATAATACGTGTTATTCTGGCCTGCTCACAAGGCTATGCTCTCTCAGCAAATGGTTGATACTTCCTTTCCTTTGGCTCACTGGGGTCATTTAGAAAACATTTAATCATCAGCTCTGCACTGCTTCTGGAACACGTGACCAATTCACTTCTTTATATATTACTGGGTATATTCACAAGAAACCTAAATGAATTTTAATGTCAAAAGTGAAACATGTCATTAAATCTACGAACACATTTTAAAGAAGGAAAAGATACAGGATCAGAATTAGAAATATACTGAAGTTCACTAAAAGCTCAAAATATTAAGAAAGAGATGTAAGTGTCCAGTTTTTTCTTTTTTTCTTTTTGGCTTGCTTTAAAGGTTTCCATTGCAGACTACACATAAGATACAGATGGGTGACCAGACTTCTATCTCTGAATTACAAAACCACCTCAGCTGGCGTTCCCTTCTCCTAAAGGAAAGCATGTTTGTAAGACAACAAAAGTGACGTGATAAGTAAAAGTTTAAGGCTTTGTACAACTTTCCCTCCTGTTTAACCACTCACAGATCTTCAATCTTTATTACTAGGTAAAAACTGAAGTGTTGATTAATATGTAAGCTCACACAACCATGTTCTCCAGCATTTGATTTTATTTGGTCAAATTTAAGGCCAATGCACAATTACAGCGATCCCTTTCCTGGCATAATTCTATTACTTTGTTTTTTAAAAACCGCTGTATTTCCAAAAGAGTAAAATTAAAAGCAGAAATTTTGGTTTAAAAACCAAAATCTCAGGTCTTCTTACATTTTGAAAAAAATACATTCTGCCATGAACATTTTAAATGTGTACCTTTACATAAGACATGCTGATAACACCTCCATCTGCAATCAAACAAAATGATTGCATATGTACTCTAAGTTTTATTGTTCATGCTAGAACATACCTTAAATGAGAAAGAATCATAAGTAAAACTGTATTTTTTAAATGCTGCAATTTTAAATGTAATTTGCATAAATTATGAAAAACAAATACAAAACTTAGGTCAACACAAAGCTACTCATATTAATCACTCAAGTGTGTTAATATTTATCACATGATCTTCAACTTGTTACATACTTCTACTTTATTCAAATGGCACAAACAGTTAGGAAATGGCCAAAAAGAAAAGTAGTGTTACCGTTCAGCTTAATACCTAAATTACTAGTATTCACCTGACACCTGAAGTCGTCTCAGAACACTATTCCCTCTTAAACCTTGAGGTACAGAAAGTACTCACTTGTTTATAAACTGCTCCAGTCCTTGCTTCCTTTCTTCAATAAAATTATCATCAAATATTCCATCATCTCCTCTAAAAGGAAGCTGACGCAAAAACGCTTTTCCAGGGAGCGGGGGAACTACAACCTGAAAAAACACAGGAAAGAAAGCTCTTGAAGACGCTGACCGGGTTGTGAAAATTTATAGCGCACAACATGAAGACAAGTAAACGTTCACTAGGACAGCCATTCCACTGTTAGACCAGTTTAAATATAAAACAAAATCAGTAAAAAACACAATGAAAAAAGATTCAACGTTTGGAGGCAAGATAACCGAAACGCAGAATAATCCATCAGACTACGGCTCCTCAATGGCATGGCTTGTAGCTTAATTATCGTTTTCCCTGAACCTGTCGAGGCTCAAGTGTACCAAGAGAACACTCGAGCAATGCTACAGTAAAGGCTGTGATGCCTCCAGACAGTCCGGCTGCCACTTAGGAGAGATAATGCTCCCTACAGTTGAAACTGCAGAGACCACAATCAACTTTCAATTACAATAGTAACAGACTCTCTCCAGCCTGGGCAGGTAAGAATTCCATGGTCTCTTTCTTCCACCTCATACCATCTGCAAATAGTCTTTCCTACCTGTGTTCGAGCAGCATTTAAAAAATAAAATACTCAACAATTCTGTCACCACTCTACCATTTTCTAGGCTAAGAAACAGGTCAACTTTCTCCCACATCCACTACCCTCTCTCTCCCCAAGGACCTGTCAATTTCTTTCTTCTGACATAGGAATATCCTAATTTTCCCCTTCAAAGCCTAACTGTCCTCTAGGACCAACTCATACTGATCTCTCTCTTCTAGGAATTACCTGGAGCTCAAATATTTGTCTGAGTTAAACAGCACAAAGCTCTATTTCACAGGTGAGTTTGGTTTCTCAAACTATGGCACTATTAACATTTTGAACCAGGTCATTCTCTGGGGGTGGGGTGGGGAGGGCTTTCTTGCACACTGCATAATGCTTAACAGCATCACAGGCCTCTACCCACCAGACTAGGTAGCACCCAGGAGCACCCCCTTGTTGTGACAATAAAAACTGTCTCCAGGGGCGGCTGGGTGGCTCAGTGGGTTAAAGCCTCTGCCTTTGGCTCAGGTCATGATCTCAGGGTCCTGAGATCGAGCCCCGCGTCGGGCTCTCTGCTCAGCGGGGAGCCTGCTTCTCCCTCTCTCTCTCTCTGCCTGTCTCTCTGCCTGCTTGTGATCTCTGTCTGTCAAATAAATAAATAAAATCTTAAAAAAAAAAAAAACAAAAAAAAACCAAAAACTGTCTCCAAACATTGCCACATGTCTCCTGGGGGACAAAACTGCCCCTGGTGGAAAACCACCAACTTAAGCTATTAATGCCTTCAAATAACGATCCCGTCTCAGGCCTTAAAATTTTAAGAAAGCCTGGGCACAAAACAGAAGCTCAAAGACCTGTTATATGACTAACCATTTAGCTGGATCCGTATCTTACACACAACAGAAAAGGTGTAAGGAATCAATTCAGACAAGAAGAAAATATAAACAGTAAACACCAGTAATAAAATTATATGCATTCTAAAAATTTTAAACCCTTGATGCAGTTTCTATCCTAAAACAAAAAGAAATGAACTAGGGCAAAAAAATAAAGATCAACACAGGGCGCCTGGGTGGCTCCGTGGGTTAAGCCTCTGCCTTCGGCTCAGGTCATGATCTCAGGGTCCTGGGATCGAGCCCTGCATTGGGCTCTCTGCTCAGCAGGGAGCCTGCTTCCCCCTCTCTCTCTGCCTGCCTCTCTGCCTACTTGTGATCTCTGCCAAATAAATAAATAAAAACTTAAAAAAAAAAAAAAAGATCAACACAACTTCATACAGAATAGCAAAGAACAAAATAAAAGCAAAAGAGAACAGAAAACCAAATGCCCAACATGAACTTCCTAATTCCTTCCCAGATCCATCTACTCTTCTCCCCAGAAGACCAATGTTTAAGACGTCTGAAGATTTACCTTCCTAACTCTGCCTTAGCATTCTCAAATCTCTCTCCCTGTATCAGCATTTGTGAAGTTGAGTGTTAAAACCTACAGCAACCATACAACTGAGAAGCAGAGACTGTGACCACTAACTGAACCCCAGTACGATGGCTATCTGATGGGCAGGGAAAAACACCTGTATGTATAAAGCTATTGTTAAAAAAAGAAGCCAGAACTATACTAAACAAATAACTACCATTAATTCAGGGCATAATTTAGCATGAAACTTAAGATTACTATGTGTTATCTGCAGAGATATATTCTTCCTAACATAATATTCAAAGCTGTCACTGAAATGGATGGTGAGGTTGTAGGATTAATAATCTACAAAAATCATGAGTGGCTTGTTCGGCTAAGATTCCAAAGATCCTCTTCAACATCAAATTATTTTTGCTTAAGCAGTCTGAAACGATCTCGTTAGAGTTCTTACCAATTTAACAGTCATTAATCCAAAGATATTTGTGTACATGTGGGGTGAGAAGTGGACAGGAAGATACTTGGGCCAGCATAATAAAGGAAAGTATACTAAACATCACCTACTTTCTAGCCTCAAAAACTGTATTTTGGTTAAAAGTACTAATACATAAACGAAAATAACTGTTTTTAGCAATACTGTAATACAAGTACAACTTTCACAGGAAACTCTTCAGATATTTAACTGGCCTATTACTAAAAGTGAAGTATTGACCCTCAAAGTACAGCAATTGTATGAAAACAGGGGCACCCGGGTGGCTCAGTGGGTTAAGCTGCTGCCTTCGGCTTGGGTCCTGATCCCAGGGTCCTGGGATCGAGCCCCGCATCGGGCTCTCTGCACAGCAGGGAGCCTGCTTCCCTTCCTCTCTCTGCCTGCCTCTCTGCCTACTTGTGATCTCTGCCTGTCAAATAAATAAATAAAATCTTTAAAAATATATATATATATGAAAACAATCCATAAAATGGGAGATTTTTGCAAATCACATGTCTGATAAGGAACTTGTAAGACTTTTTAAATATATTCTAGATACGACTCAATAATAAAAAGACAAAACATTCTATTAAACGGGCAAAGGATCTGAAAAAAGTATTTCTCCACAGAAGATATATAAATGACCAATAAGTACACGGAAAGATGATCAACATCACCAGCCCTCAGGGAAATGAAAATCTCAAACCACACTGACCCGGCACCTCACACATGCTAGGACAGCTATAGTAAAGCAGCTAGCTGTAGAGGCACCTGGGCATCTCAGTCGATTCAGGTCATGATCTTAGGGTTGTGGGATTAAGCCCCGCAAGGGGCTCTACACTCAGCAGGACTCTGCTTGAGATTCCCTCTCCCCCTGCCCTCAAAGCATGCATACATACTCGCTCTCTATCAAGTACGTCTTAAAAGAAAAAAAAAAAAAAGACAGATACTAGTAAGTGTTGGTAAGGACAGAGAGAAAAGTGGGACCCTCAGACATTGGTGGGATTGTAAAAATGGTATAGCTGCTTTGGAAAACAGTCTGGGAGTTCCTTAAACAGTTATCACAGAACCCAGTAAATCCACTCCTGTGTATACATTCAAGAGAAACAGAAACATATGTCCAAAAAACCCTGTACCAGATGTTCACAGCAGCGTTATCTGCAACAGTCAAAAGCAGAAACAACCCGAATGTCTACCAACTGATGAAAGGATAAATAAAATAAATAAATAAAATGCATATCCATACAACAGAATATTTGGCAACAAAAAGAAATGAACTAGGAAAAAAAAAAAAAAAGAATGAGTAAGTAATGTTAAAAAACACCCTCAGTGAAAGAAGCCAGACACATCAGACTACATACTCTATGCTATTTATATGAAATGTTCAGAACAGGCAAGTCCATACAGAAAGTCAATTAGCACTTGTACAGGCCTGGGTGAGGAGGGGCTGAGGGAGAAATTGGTAGTGACTACTAATGGGTACGGGGTTTCTTTTATGGAATGACTAAGTTGTTCTAAAACTGACTGTAAAGGTTGTTGTACAACTTTGTGAATATACTAAGAGCCAATGAATTTTACTTTAAATGGGTGAACTGTATGGCATGTGAATTATAGATCACTGAAGCCATTATTTTTTCCAGAAGTGAGGTCTACATGCCCCAAATGTTTATTAAACACTCCGGGGCACCACATGCTATGTTAAGCAAAGCCCAAAACCTATCAAGACACTTCTTCCCATCAATCAAAGACAGACAAATACTGCATCATTTCACTTATGTGTGGAATCTAAAAAAATCAGACTCCTAGCAACAGAGAGTAGCAGATTAGTGGTTGCCAGAGGGTGGGGATGGGGGAAATGCAAGCTGCTGGTCAAAGGGTACAAACTTCCAGTTATAAAATGTTCTGGGGGTCTAATGTAGAGCATGGTGACTATAGTTAACAATACTGTACTGTACACTTAGAAGTTGCTAAGACAGTAGATCTTAAAATTTTCTCACCACCACCAAAAAAAACCTGGGGGACCGGCGGGGGGAGGGATAGGGTGATTGGGTTATGGTTATGGGCACTGGGGAGTATATGTGCTATGGTGAATGCTGTGAATTGTGTTAAGACTGATGATTCACAGACCTCTACTCCTAAAGCAAATAATACATTATGTGTTAATAAAAAAAAAAAATTAACAACTATGTGAGGTGATGGATATATTAACTAAGCTTACTGTGATCATTTCATAATATATACATATAACAAATCATTATGTTGCATGCCTTAAGCTTACACAGTGTTGTCAATTATATCTCAATAAAGCTGGGAATTCTTCCCTGTGGTCATAAATAATTTCCTGTTACCCAAAATGTTCCTAACTTGTTTTGTACATTTAGATCTTCAAACCATCTATAATTTATATATAGTAAGTTATAAATTTTTATTCCTAAATAGACAGCCAAATGTTTCAACCCCATTTACTGAATATAAATTATTTTCCCTACTGATTGACAATGTTATTTTTGTTACTAAATTTCCAATAAACATGCAAGTCAGCCCCTAAGTTCTATTACATTCTGCTAATCTATCTGCTTATCTCTAAAGCAATACCAAACTGTTTTAATTACTGCAGCCTTAAGAGAAACTCTGATGTCTGCAGGTGCTCCGTACATGCTGAAAATAATTTTTGACTCTTCTTGGTGTTCTCTTTGATTATAAAGCTCATATATAAATCTGTAAGTTTATTAAAAAAAAAAACCACTAATATTTCTATCAGAGATAATGCTTTACTTTGATCAGGTCTACTGCTAAAATGTCACCTCTAAGTGAGGCCTTCCTTTGACAACTCTAAAAAAGAGTACTCTCCTGGCACTCCCTACTTCCCTTGGTTTTTGTTTTTTCTTTTTCTTTCTTTCTTTTTTACAGGTTGTATTTATTTATTTGACAGACAGAGATCACAAGCAGGCAGAGAGGCAGGCAGAGAGAGAGAGGGAAGCAGGCTCCCCACTGAGCAGAGAGCCCTCTGCGGGGCTTGATCCCTGGACCCTGAGATCATGACCTGAGCCGAAGGCAGAGGCTTAACCCACTGAGCCACACAGGCGCCCCGGTTTTTGTTTTCTTCAGAGCATATCACCATCTGACATACTAGATATCTATTTTTTCTGCTTTCCCATCCCCGCCAGCCAACTTCCCCAACTGATTATAAGGACCATGAAAGTGGGGACTTAATGTGCTCACAGATCTACCCGTTAAGCCAAAGGACATCCAGGATGGCTCTCAAATGTTTACAGAATAAATTACTCTTCAAAAGTGAATATTCCAAACCAAGAATGTAGCATTTCTGCTTATTAAGTTCTGCTTTTGTCTTTCAGTAAAGTTTTGAAGTTTTCTTTACGTGGGTCTTATATTTCTAGTTTTATTCATAGATATTTTATTCTTTGATATTCTTTTGAGCCAACTGATTCTGCTTTACATTTCTATAGAATGCTATGATTTGTGTAATATATCGCTCTTCTATCCAGCCACAGGTATCTGGTTAAGGAAGTTTTCCTTCTTCAACTTATCACACTTGAGAAATGAGCACAAGCTAGCCTTCACCTGCTTCAGGGCTCCAACACACCAACTTCTGATGTCCTTCTGACACCAGGCTGAAATTAGGGTCATTAGAATGAGACCTTGCCTTGCCTTGCCTTAATTTTTTTTGCAGCCAAAGCCACTAAATTTTAAGAGAAGATAACTCTTACCAAAGTATACAGCAGTGTTTTTAAATTGCATGTAGCAACCAATGAGACCATGGCCATCATTTGAAAAGCTAAGCTGAACAATATCAGCACATATCACAGGTAAGTACTGGTTTATGAAAACTCTGGTTATATGTACATGTGTGACGATGAAAAAGTGTATTATGAATCAGTAAAAGAAAAAGAACTGCAAATACAATGATATATGAGATGTACTGAGGAAGAGAAACTTAGGAAGGTGTAGGGAAGGGGGGGGGGCAAGACTGAACAGGAAGGTGAGGAAAAGGAAGGAAGTAATAGCAAAAGAGTTCTGAGAAGTAAGTGTTGGCCAAGCGTGAGTTAATAAAGGCCTCAACTGGGCCATTAAAGCAGACAAGGGAAGAATGAGTTGTAAGGAAAAATTACAGCCTTCCCCCATCTCCCAAAAAATAAGAGGAAACTGAACTACCAGAAAAAAGAAATTATACTTGCTTTTACCCCCTTCATTCAAGGTTAAGTTTTCTGAAACATTAAAATTCAGAGTCTTTGGCTTTAAAGTCCCATTACAAATAGTTCTTACCTTGCTCTCTCTTTCTAATTCACTTCGCAGCCATTCAAAGTCACTGTATCTTCTTCTAACGGTAGATTCCTTCAGCTTGAAAATAGGCAAATTTGTCTGAAATTAAAAAAAAAAAAATCACTCCTAAGTTGAAGCATGGGATAGGGACTTCAAAAACAGAGCTGGGGTGAGGAATCTGTTTGTCAAACTGATAATACGGCAAGCCTGGTTACCTTAAGAAAATCATGAAGTTATTACGATGACATTTTACCTCTAACAAAATAAAACTTGGCTAAACATTAAACAAGTGTATTATTTATGCTGGAGTACAACTTTTAAAAACATATGTCTGCACATATGCTTTAGAAGGTCATTCTGCCTGAGGTCAGTTCCGTAAATATAGGGCATTTTTCCTATTTTGGTGAGCTGTAGAAATGTCAAGTGGAGAGGAGTGGGATAAAACTAGCTCCGATGGCTGTCCAGTTTAGACAGTACTGTACCATACAATGCTCAAAGAGCGGAAGAGACCTTAACTACTTTGACATGATATACAAAATATTTTATTGTGATGACTGGATTAGATGTTTCACAATGAAAGAAATGAATAAAGGATTATGCTTAATGGTCTTCTTAAAAAAATGCGAGAAACTAGCAGGGAAAGAGTGCAAAGTCTGCACTATTACTACTAGTAGGAAATCAGGAGTCATACACATTAGATCAAGTTCATAGATCCACAGCTTTATAGGCTGAGGGCAAGTTTAAGAACTGAAAACATAATGCCCAGAACTCTGAGGTTACGTTGGAATGGAGACTGCTCTTTACAAGACTGCAAGGACCACTTATGTCTACTTCTAAAAGTAATAAGAAAGATTTCTGTTATCTTTTACTGATCCCTAGAAAAAGAGAAAATATACCACCAAACCCACTTTAAAATGGCTCATGATTAAGGGCTATTAGCAGAAGCAGTATACCACCATGACTTTTTTAGCAAGAACAGAATTTAAAGTGCACATAATATCACAAAGTTTATAGGGGACAGAAATGATCTAACATAATTAATGCCATACCATACTGAAAATGCTATTTAATATTATAGACTCATGGGTTATACTTTGTCTCTAATTTGATCTTCGTACTTGTAGAACAGCAAACCGTTTTACAGCTGAAAAGAAAAGTTAAGTGTCACCAGAAGAGACATCAACCATCATGTAAACCTTACTCTTCAGAAAATGTCGATCATCTGTTAAACTTAATGCCACTGATAAATGTCATTCAGCACAAGAAAAGCTTTTTATTCAGGGCCTTAAACCCATTTTGTAGTAAATTTCAGTTTTTTCCAAAGTGTATTAACTTCTCCATGCTGTATACCTTATAGCTCGGAATCTTCTACAGATGCTACTGGGCATAACACTGGATAGGTTTCAAGCGTGAAACCAAATCTCACAGGAGGTTTAAAAGCACTTGGATTTTCTTTCCCAGGTAACCACAACATTTGTTCATTGTATTAATGACTAAGAGCAAAATTGCACCTAACAAGACTCTTATTATACTAAAAGTCAAGCTTATATTTAGAGATGCTGGCTTGCTGTGTACAGAAGGGTACTCTCGTTCCCCACAGGGAATAAAATTAGGTCCCCTGGGGAGCAGGATGATAATTCCCAGAAAGAAAGCACTGGATTATTTCTCTCTAATTTCACCCATTGGCTTTTTAACCAAGTTCACCCTTCCGCATTAAAATATTAAGTCTTTGTAAGTGTCTAAAGATAGAAAGGCTTTTACAGAATTGAGTGTTTTCTGCAGGTGAGATTTTACATTTTGAATTCCCTCCTCTCAAATTACTTTACAAAAGGGATTAGCTGCTCTCTTTATTCAATACGTTAAGATCAAGCTTGTGAAAAGAGTTCCCTGCGAATTTTCATACTTCTGGGTACGGAAGTCCATAAAGTTAATCTCTGAAACAACATATCAAGCTTACAGGTACAATGTTGAGGGAAGAGTGCCAATTCAGCTCATTTTACCTTCCATTTTCCCTTTTGAACTTTTGACACAATCATGATTATATCTGATTCACTTTAATAGAAGGGGAGTGGGAAGGCGAAAAAGTCCGTTCCATTCTATGATTAGCTAGTAATTTTTTAGATTATATATAAAAAAGGTTCACAGTTAAAGAAAATTCTTCTATTTAGTCTGCTCAGCTGGCTATGCTTTCTCTTTACATGAGGACTGCTTTAAAGTTTTGATAAAGTCACATCATGTAATTCTTAATATTATTTACCCATTACATTTGGAGTGGCAAGTTTGCCTGTTAACTTCCTCCTGATCAACACAACTTGATCAAAATAAAAATGAAAAAACGTGGAGGTGTTTTCGTTAAACCACTGTTGATTATAAACTCTTGCTCAGTCACTTTCAATTTATTTAACCCTCATAAAATGTTCCATTTTGTTTTTCTAAATAGAGAAGAGTGAGGGTCATTACCTTTTTTTTTTTTTTTTAACTACAGGTTTAGGAGGATTCAACTATTTTTACAATTTGGGAACATTTATAAAAGGGCTAGTGCTAGGTAAGTTGAGGAAATGTAAAGCCTGAGATGGAGCCCTAACCCTTTGAAGCTTATATTAGGGAGGTTAAAGGATAAGTATACAAAAAATGTATGTGGTTAAAAATACTATACACCATAAACAAAAACAAAGTTGAAAGACCAAGAACAAACTGTAGACAAGTATTTGCAACATAAAACAAAGGGATAATTGTATTAAAATGTAAAGAACTTAGAGACCAATTAAGGAAAAGATGAATTACCTGACAAAACAGGCAGAACACAGACTAAAGGGCCAGTAACATTCGACCCACTTCACTCACACAGGAAATGCTAGTTGAAACAGTAAGGTCCCATTTTCATTCAGACTGTCAGGGAGGACATTTTAATACCTAGTGATGGTGAGGAGACAGACAGATGGACAGAGAAAAATCTGGTTGACTGGTGCAACCTGTAAGGAGGGCATTCTGGTAACACCTATCACTCTTTGAAATGCTCATATCTTAAAAATAAGATGAAAACAGGGAGGCAAACCATAAGAGACTCTTAACTGTAGGAAACAAATTGAGAGAGGGCTCCTGGAGGGGAGAAGGGTTGATGATGCGGTAACTGGGTGACATTAAGGAGGGCACTTGATGGAATGAGCACTGGGTGTTATATGCAAATGATGAAATCATTAAATTCTACCCCTGAAACTAAAAATAATAATAAAATAAAGGCATATATCCTCTAAGCCAACAGTTCCACTAGGAATTAATCCTACAAATATTTCCACATACACAAAAAGATATCAGTATTATATCATAATTATGTATCTCAGTAGTTTACTTAAGCATTGGGCATGTGATAATAAAACAAACAAAATCTAATAAAACTGTTACAAACATAAATGAAACATTATACAGCTTTTACAAACTAAACCTCAGAAAAAGGCTGATCAGAAAGCCTGAGATGTGTTAAAGAGAAGTTTAAGAGCATGTGACTTTTTTTTTTTTTTTTTTTTTTTTGGCGTATGTGACTCTTGATCTCAGGGTAATGAATTCAAGTCCCATGTTGGGGGCAGAGATTACATAAAAAAGTAAAATATTTAAAAATAAGTTTCCTAACAGTACATACAGTATGATACCATTTTATGATACCATTTGTATAATTAAAGTGTAAGGGAATTGATACTGGATTTGGCCAGTATTCTCTTAACACATGGAGTAAGCCACACTGTAGGAAGACCTTGGAAAAAGTTAAATAGTGTGAGCTACATGCTGAGCACACTAAAGCGTAGGTCATGGGAAAACTGAAAAGGTTAAACTATGCCCTGAGTATCTGGCTAAGGTGTGTCTCTGTGAGCATCAGGATTAATAAACATCTCTGAACAGGAAAATAACTCTGAAATAGAAAAACAGAAGAGAGAAATTGCCACGACGTTGAAGCCACAGAACTGGACAGATTAGCTACATGTGTGTGCATGAGAGGCCTAACAACGGGTGCCGTTCCTAAGTTGGTTCCGTTCTCATCACAAGAAAGAAAATTTTTTTGACTATGTATGGTAGGAGATGTTAACTAGATTTACTGTGATCATTTCACAAAGTATGCAAATATGGGATCATTCCTTACACTGTACATCTGAAACTAATGTAATATGTCAATTATTATTATTATTACTATTAGTTTTAGTTTTCTTTAGTTAGGTAAGCTCTCCACCCAACGTGGGGCCCAAACTAACAACTCTGAGACCAAGAGTCACTAACTTTTCTGACTGAGCCAGGCAGGTGCCCCATGTCAATTATATCTTAAACAAACAAACAAACAAACAAAAAAGAACAGCTGTTCTAGCCACTTCTAAGGTTTATCCGGCTTGAAGAAAATGCACAAGAGCCAGACTACTGAGGCAAATTAAAGCAAAAGTTCCTAATAGATTTTACTTTAGATTTCATTTAAAAATGCTTTATAGACTTATCCAGAGAGAAATAAAGTGGTGAATTCTGAAATTAAATTAAATCAGACTCAGGGGCGCCTGGGTGGCTCAGTGGGTTAAGGCCTCTGCCTTCAGCTCAGGTCATGATCCCAGGGTCCTGGGATCGAGCCCCGCATTGGGCTCTCTGCTTGGCAGGGAGCCTGTTTCCTCCTCTCTCTCTCTGCCTGCCTCTCTGCCTACTTGTGATCTCTGTCTGTCAAATAAATAAATAAAATCCTAAAAAAAAAAAAATGTAAATCAGACTTCAATATGGTTAACTTATTTAAATGACTAAAACTCTGAAACTTCCAAAAGGCAACATTTAGTATTCTCTCATCCTGACATTCGTATTTCCCCCGTAGTTGTTCTAAATTGCTCATACTGTGCATAAACTAGAAGCCACTATTTTCTGCCAGCTACTATTATTTTACCTATAAAACCACAGTATTTTATTTGTAGGAACAGTGATCAGAGACACGTAACATCAGAGACATGTAAAATAAAGTCCATCATCAGGCAAGAACCATAAACTAAGCCATAATCTTCATTTATGTGCATAGGTACCTATTACTAGTAAACGCTGAAGGTGAGTTTGAGTAACCTTGGTCTTTTCTTTTTTTTTTAAAT